TAACATGAAGATAATTAAACAAAATAAAAATAAAAGGTGAAATTTGAAGATCGTAATTTTGACTGTATGTATGTGTCATTTTTAATGTTTGTTTAACTTATTCCGATAAGACAACAGATTAGAATCATTGAGTGTAAATTGTCATTTTAGATAATACGAATTATATAAAAACATTAAGGAGTTCAGGTTGTTACTTATTAATGATTAGCTGCCATGGTACTGCTAATTGTATTCCATCCCTCCTATTAATATTGTTTGGATTAGCCCAAATGTATAGGGCTTCAGCTGTTTGTCTCTCCTTGTAAGAATTAAAAGCTTTTTGAAGGATTCTTGTGCCATGGAAATCAATTGTATGACCTGATTCTAACGAATGTAATGCTATCGCTGATTTGTTCTCCAATTTCCTTACATTATCTGAGGATTTAGGAATATGTTTCAAACATTGTTTGTGTTCCTTCACCCTCACATTCAGTTGTCTTGATGTTTCACCTACATACGTTGCATTACAATCCCTACATTTGATTTCATAGACACAATTTTGTTGTTCTTCTTTATGTATTGGATCTTTAATTCTTACTAATTTTGATTTTAGAGTATTGTTTGTTCGAAAAAATACTCTTATATTTTGATTATTTAAGATTCTTCGAATATCTTCCGAAATTCCTTTCCGATATGGGATCACTACTGTGTTAACCCATTCCTTTTTCTGTAATCTTTTTGTATTAACAAGGTCATCTTTTCTTTCATTCTTAATTATTCTTTTAATAAAATCTTTTGGATAATTGTTCTTAATTAAGGTAAATAGGAATAATATATTTGTAAAATCTCAGCGAATGAATTTTTAAATTAAATCCAACGTTTCGCCTGGCAATCTGGTCCAAGCTTTTTCAATGAATTATAATCAAACATCAAAATTATCGAATATAAATAGGTACATGGTTCTCCGAGTTCATTATACACTGAATAGGTCATCCAATCATGTAATTAAATTTATTTCCATTTTCATATCATTTGGTTCAGTGACAAGTTTTTGAGCTCTTGTAATCATATTTTTGACTACTGTCACTTTGGTTGAGTGTGGGTGTGCCGATTTAAAATCTAGAAATTTTCCTGAATTTGTCGGCTTTCGAAATATACTAATTTTTAAGCTATTATTAACTTTCCTTTCCACTAAACAGTCTAGGAATGGTAATGTGTTTTCAGGAGATTCCAACTCTTTGGTGAACTTGATTTTTCTATCAAAGTTGTTGATAAATTTAAACAGTTCATCCAAATGGTTCCGTTTTATAATGACAAAGGTGTCATCTACATATCTTAACCATACTTTTGGTGCCTGAGAACATAATGAGATGGCACTAGTTTCCAATGAATGCATAAAGAGGTTAGCAACAATTGGGGAAACTGGTGATCCCATAGCTACACCTTCTGTCTGTCTGTATAAATCCCCTCGATAACTGAATATAGTTGAACGTAAACATAGATCTAACGCTTTAATAATATCCGAGGTAACTAAAGGACAGCGTTGTTTAAGATCAGTGTCAGAATCTAATAGATTACATATAATATCTAGTGTTTTCTTAATTGGAACATTAGTGAATAATGAGTAAACATCAAAACTTGCCATTATTTCATCTTCTTCTATGTGAATATTAGAGATAACATCTTTAAAAACATTAGAATTTTTTATTCCGTGTTTGATTGTGCTTTCATATGGTTTAAGAATCTTAGCTAGGTATCTAGAAAGATTGTAGGTTGGTGAATTGGTATAATCCACAACAGGTCTTATTGGGACATTTGTTTTATGTATTTTTGGCAATCCATAAAATCTGCATGGTTTGTTGCTTTTTGGATATAGAGAAAACCATAGAGATGGTCCTAGTTTCGGTTTTAAAGTCTGTAGCATTTTGGCTGTTTCGGCTTTCAACTTATTCAAAGTTGTTCTACATTTGTTAATCTTGATTTTTTCATAAGGTCCAGATTGGAGATGTTCATTGACTTTTTTCTCATAATCAGAATTATTCATAATGACAGTGGTGTTTCCCTTGTCAGCTCTCATGATAACAATTTTTCTATCTTTACGTAGCTGTTTTAGAGCATTCATTTCTTCTTTACATAGATTAGGTGCATTTGGTTTTTGTTTCAATAACGCATTTGAGATTTTAAATCTCACTGAATTCGCTTGATCATTCGGAACATTGTTTAAGGCCGGTTCAATAACCGGAATAATTTCTGAAGCCATAAGTTGTGTTTTGCTCAAATAGAAATTGAGGCCTTTTTTAAGCAACGATAGTTCATGTTGATTTAAATGTTTTTCAGATAGATTCACAACAATTTTGTTTATATCTAGTTCTTTGGAATTGTTATTAATCGTGTCGTTATTAGAATTTGATGGATGTTTAAACATTTGTTCGAATTTCCTTATTTGACGTTTTTTTGTAATTTGATCATAAAAGTTTTCTTTATGTGTAAAAAATTCAACAACATTTGTTTTTATTTCTGGTGGTATAATTAAAGATAAAACATTATCAATATTTGTAATACGTGAACGTAGAGATCCCAAATTTTTAGTGGATTTATGAATACGTTCTCTAAGAAATATTCTAGTAGCTGTAATAGCTGCTTTTTGTGATCGTAGTGAATCGTCTGGAGTCTTGACTCGTAACGTTCTTGGATAAACATGATGGTTTAAACAGCGTAGATTGAAAATTCGGTGGTTATACCAATTGTACAGCTTGTTAATAAATTCTTTGACAAAAGATCACTTCGTTGAACTTCGTGTTTTAATTTTAATGTTTAAATGGGAATTATATACTAATCAAGAAGTATTGGATGAACACGAACGAAAGTACTGTCTTTGGAATCCAAAATCCAAACAGTCATCAATACAAAGGAGTCATTGGTTAATTCAAACACAACACAAACTTGCTCTCACCTTTGTAGTTTACATTGCAATTTTTTGTTGAACCAAATTTCATATTTTCACGAGAATAGGAATCACAGTGCTTTGTAGATAATACATGCAGTCCCAGCATCGTGAAAGAAACAGTTCGGCATTCCTAACAACTGCGTTTTCAGACGTGGTATGTCAATAACTGCAATCAACCGATCTCTCAGCTACACAAGTATGATAATTAGGAGTATCTGAATTATTGAATAAACTAGTAATCCTAGAAATAAAGCAATTTAATGAAGAAGTACTAGATAAGCACCAAAGAATGTATTTAAACTGAATTTGAGGTCAAACAGTCTCCATTTACAAAGGAATAGTTAGTTCACAGAAACACCACAGGCTCTTTTCATTATAACTGACAAATTGATTGATTATTTATTTGTGAATCCCTAAAAGCTCGTAATATGCACTTATAAGTTTATAATTCCGAACTTCACTGAAATGTTGCTTGCACTTTAAGTGAGTCGATTGATATGCTGAATGAAGTACACTTGTCTTTCAGGAATTTACACTTATTTTAAGGATTCATCCATTCGAAACGCGAAATATATTTTTTAAGTATCATAATGACCATTACTGAGTTAATCATGCGTAAGCACTTAAATCCTGCCATAAATCAGTACGAGTTGAATGCTCGGGGTATTTGGAAGTGTTCACAAATTTGAGGAACTTTTGTGATATCAAAGAGTATTTTAGTTATAGTATAAACTAGTAATACTAGCAATAACGCAATCCAATCAAGAAGTATTAGATGAACACGAAAGAATGTACTGTATTTGAAACTCAAAATCAAAACACTCATCAATGCACAGAACTCATTGATTCATATGAACACCACAACTTTGCAATGTGGGATTAACAGACTCACAACAGGAGAGGATCAACAGAACGAATAAACTAGGAAATGAATATCGACCTAACCACAAACTTCTTTCCTCAATGGAACACTAACTGTACCAATAACGAATTGCTGATACCAATAATTGTTCTGCCGCAGGTGTTAAATTAAAAGCATCGAAAGATGGTGATAGTAAGCGATGAATAGCCCAATTTTTTCTAGATCAGGTAGTATGGATTCACAACTTAGATGTTTAGAGAAGTGGCGCGTTTAGAAGCTTGTGTTCGAAGCTGTAGCATAAAACCCGTGGTGTTTTTAAATGGAGCACAAGCTAATTTGTTGAACTGTGTGCTTGCACAAGCTTAGAGTGAGTGAGATCTTTAATACAGGCTGACAAAATGTCTATGCAATGATCATCAACAATGGTGGGCAACGAAACCAATTTTTACAAGTATGCTAAGTCTCATTACCTTGACGTTTAAGTACTGAGGATTGTGAATAGTTTATAAGAATGACAAACTAATAATCTTTTGCTCAAATCGTTGCTTTCGCTTCTGAGTAATGGAAAAGAGTGTGTACAAAAACGTTCAGTGACCAAACATCTACATTTTTTAGTTAAGATACAAGCAATTAACTGTTTTCCAACAAACTACCCTAAAGATGCTTCATATTAAACTTGTGTACACTTTTCTGCAGTTCGAATCAGTAAGCTGCGGAACTCACTACCCGAAGCTATAGAGATGGCATCTTCGGTTTAATCTTTCAAGGCTCGACGGTTACTTTAATTCTGTAAGTAGTAAGGGAGATTACTTTGAGTGTTACCCCTTGATTACTCCTATTATTAGTTAAATTGTCACTCCCTTCAGTTTATAGGAGGAATATTAAAAAATCATGCCTCTCCGTAACTAAGATCTCACTCCGCCTGGCGAGGTTGAAGTTGATATGGATAAGAGTAAAGATCCGTATCTATCTTACAGGTATTAATAAGTATGTTTTGTAGAATCACTAGTATATGGGAAGCATCACTCGCGTGTGATGAGACTAGCCTTAGTACCACAGGGTTCAAAATTTGAAAGGTAGAAGCCCGAAAAATACATGTAATACTTTCCGATACTTGCGTGATGTAATGCTATCTCGAGAATTGAACATACCCAAAACGGCAAACACCGATTCCCTGTGATAGTTTCAGGTAACCATCTCAAGTAATACAAATTAATAAAAACTTAGGAGATGGGGAAGTAATAGTACTGAAGATTCATCACTAATCCTAACATTTTGATTCATAAGTACACCAACCAAAATTCCAAACTTGCCAATGTAAGTTGTTTTCCCACCCGGCGCAGCACACAAATCCAGGATACGCTCGCCTAACTGAGGAGACAAGGCCATTACAGGAAGCATAGAACTAGCTCCCTGAAGTATATAATGACCGGCAAGATACTCTGGTGTTGCGCCTAATGGTACTTGTGATGAATAAACAACAAGTCCAACTTTGCTCCACGGTTCCAAAGGATCAAGGTTCACACCACGATTTATTAAAGCCTATCCAATTATATGAACAAAGAGGACTTGCTTGAGCCAATTCCCTCCGACGGGTTTTTAAGGTATTTGTGCGTATGGTCACTGGTCTGTCGACTTCATTAGCTTCTAAAACCTCAACGATCTGCGACTGAATTTGAGTTTCAATATTTATTACCTCTTTTGGAAACAAGTCAAGAAGTTTCACCATAAGAAACTGATTGTACGAATAACGAGAACATAAGTCGCTTATCAGAGTTCGAACACACAAACTCCTATTGAGGTCTGCAGGTGCTCTGTTTTTGAAATCGGATAGGATATAGAGCCAGTTTCGAATGCGTTGGTTCAATGTACTGGAATCCATGACAGACTTTTCAACCACATCTTCGGAAGCGAGGTTGGTTATCATATCTTCATTTTCATCTACAGGTTCTACAGGATCCGTATTTGTCTTAATGTCTTCATCTTCTAAATCTGATAGACGTCCAAAATCATCAACCATAAGTTCGTCACCGTCATTTTCAAGCAGGCCGTTAGACGGCTCGAAAACCTAATGGGAAGAAGGACATCAACAAAAATACCTTTCGAGACACTCTATTTTCAACAGGTTCATCAGATTTCAGGAAACGCTTCTTAAGCCTTTGTTTTTGTCTGCTTGTCAGCTTCTCTGAAAACATTGAGACTTTGAAAGCAACAAACCTCTGAGTTTAACAACTCCATCCTTAATTTTTGGGTCCTCTTGGTGAGCCAATCTTTTCCTTCCCTTCCTTATGGCTGATTTTACCATGGTCATGACCAGAAACGAAACAGGCGGCTTAAATCCACTAGGTCAAAGCAACCGACCTGAGTCAGGAGCGAATAAAAACAAACTCCAAATCCTAAACTTTGCGTCTCGGAATTGGTGAATTATTTGTTCTTTAGGATCTGTGTCTGAGCGGTGAGAGGGATTGATTGACTATGACAAGGTGATGAGATACAACAAGTGTCTGTCGGACTCTTTCAAAACTCCCGACGCTCGTTTCGACCATGTTCATCTGGATTTGGTAAGACATTTACCAGATTCAAATGGATTCCCCTATATCTTAGCTTGTGTAGACCGTTTCGCTCGACGGCCAGAGGCAGTACTCATCAACGACATAACTGCAGAAACAGTAGCTCGCGCCTTCATCGAACGGTGGGTATCAAACTTCAACTGCCATTCAACTATCACTGCAGACAGTGTGCGTCAGTTCGAATGTGGGCTTTTTCGTCGTACTGCCACACTCCTGAGAATCTCACGATTCTGAACGACTGCCTACCGTCCACAGGCTAATGTGTTGGTAGAACGATTTCACTGGCAATTGAAAGCCTCACTCTAAACGGCAAAAGTGTCACAGTGGACTGACGTTCCTCCATTTATGTTACTCGGTATTCGCAGTGCAATGTAGGCTGGCGTTGGATACGCTGTAGCTCAACTCTTTTATGGAACGACACTTCGACCTCCAGAGGGATTCGTGGATCCTTCATCTCCTCCAATGAATATGGATATTAACTCCTGAACAAGCAGACTTACAAACGCGATGCGTTCGGTTAAACCTGCTCCCACTTGACCAAAATCGACTGATGTTTTCGTTCAACCTGACTTACGATATAGCAGACATGTCTTTGTACGTCAAGACTCACATAGATTGCCTCTTGAAATTGCAAACGAAGACCCTTCAAAGTCCTTTACCGCAGACATAGGCAAGATATAATGTATCTAATATCTCTCTCGAAATCTTATCGTCATCTATGTATAGCAGAGTTCGAGCGCCCATAGTGCTAAGAAAATCGTAAGGAAATATTAATAAGAGGAGTGTTTCGATCACCGAGTTAGGCAATCTGTGTGAATGATGGGGTTCTACTTCAGTCGACTGGGAATGATGTGGATTCTCAACATATGTCAAAGTCATGCATTAAGGTTGATACCCAAAGTGTATTGCCCCTTCATCGTATCCAGGTATTGTGGCTACCTTGATGACCGTATATAACCAATATGACGTTTCCAAAGAAATGTGTCAGAGAAAATAAATGGGAGGAATAGTGTGCAACCACTGTTGTACGAGCTAGTCGTACTTGAGTTTTGAACGTCTCTAGCCTACTGACTGTAGAAACTACATTGACGTGTTGGTCAGGCTTGACTATCACGACGACTCACCCAAGCTATCTTGGCCGAAACACGTTCCTTTAGGTCTTGCCATGGGAGTCAGATCAGGTGCAGAACAGAAAAACTAAAATCAACGACCAAGTTCTGAAATCATAATGCTGGCCGTACATGAGAATCCCCACCAACCCTTAGCAGTTGTTCCGTCTTCACTACTAATCCTTCTCATTTATGTTTATCAACGCCCGATACCAATGCTCATGTTTCCAGTTCACGAAATGTTATTCCTGGTCTCCTGAAACCACACTCCAATATGCATGTTGGAGCTTTCAGTGTTTGGACCTTGTGTTAGATAAGACAACAGGCCCCCTTAGCTAGGACATTAATCTTGCACGATCGGTGTATGCTGTGTCTTCGAAACGCGCATGCAGGATCCAATTACCATCATTCACTTGACCTCACCTTGTCGATATAAAAAACCGGTGCAATTTATTCTTCCAGTATCCCGAAACCCCACTGCTACTTCACGTATTCTCTTTGGTGAAGGTATAGCAACATTAGGTTCCGGAGCAGAACAGGTTCTCATAGAGTGAGTTTCAATAGACAGTCTTCTGTGTATCAGAAAATGCCTTATTATATACCGTCAGCAGGATATGTTAAGCTGCCAGATTTCGAGGAAACAATGAGCTTTATCGTAGGTCTGACATTAGATTTGGATTAAAATTTCAGCGTAGACCCCTATAACGTTGTGAATGACAAATACACAGACATAGGTAGGGTTACAAGGAAAAAAGCACAAAAGATGAAAGAAGTTACAGAAGGCTCTAATATATATGATCTGACGGTTTCAGCTATAGATTGCAATATAAACGTAAAACAGACTATGTAATATCGAAGCCGAACTTTGTATATGATTTGATCAAGAAACAAAATAAGGTCAATAATTGGCCTAAAGAAGCACCTAGAAAATTAAGAAAGAAGTGTGCGACCTCCACGTTTGACGCCTAATCGGACAGAAGGGATAAGAAGAGGTTAGAAAACAAAACCTCGCAGCTTTTCAAAACAGATCTCGTATAGAGGTCAGTCGAGTTGAGAGAACCTTCCGGATAGGAACCAAAGGTCAGACTTGAAAACGATCTAAGCCACATTAAGTCTTTATAAAAAGAGAAACTTCCAGAAACAGTAGAAGAAGTTAAAATCTGTAAACTTTATAGAATAGAAGAAAAAGTGGATTCTTACAGTACATAGAAAAGCCGCCTCCTAAAAGTTACCTTTGATTCTCATGATGAAACATGTCTTTGTACGTCAAGACTCACATAGATTGCCTCATGAAATTGCAAACGAAGACTATTCAAACTCCTTTGCCGTAAACATAAATAATATATCTTTGATGAATGCCGAACTAACGATAACGTTAGCATTGACCGTCGTAGAGCCGTGTACTTAGAAGAGTAGCTTAATGATGCTGATTATCTTACTGTACACCAGAATGACTCGACTCTCACAATTACGATGCCTAACTGCCCCAAAACAACTCACTCTGGAAGGATTTTGTGGTTTTTAGTACATTCAAACTACTACTGCGCGTAGGACACAACACAACATTTTATTTGTATTGTTGTGTCAGAAACAAAGACGAACATGTTTTTACAGTGTGCTCTTATATGTGTATATTTGTTTCTCGAAAAATGTCACTGTGCAGAAACGTCTTTTACGCTGTCACATGTTATCAATAAGTACGAATGCCAGTTTATTTTTCTTCCTTCTCACGTTTTGTGTCCTTAAGCATGTACGAGTGAAATTCGACAGACACTAACAATTTGCTTTTTGTTCTTATCCAGAAAGGCTGGAAATGATGGAAAACCGATGAAGATTACGATGGATCGAAAAGTTTACTCTACTTGTTTTTCACTGCTATATTGTACCACATGGCCGCTTATAGTAAGAAAAAACGACCGAACGCTGCTGAACATAGTGAGCTATCAGGAGAGTGTTTACCAGCAAACTCGTTGGGTTTAAACTTCTTATTGGTGACGCCTTCGGGACATCACCACCACACTAGGGAGGGAATAATGATTGATAGCGGTAAATAAATCCCCAAAATCAACAGCTCTATATATCTTCGACGTTTGGTGCTGGCCATATTAGTTCTAATGGACTCACCTAGCTGAAGGCGATCGGTCAAGCCTCCGCATTAGATCACGAGTGGGTACGTGTGGTATTTGTCTAAACTAATGATTCCTTTGTGCTTAATGACTCTCTGATTTTGGATTCCAAATACAGTACATTCGTTCGTTCTCATCTAGTAATTCTTGGCGAAATTGCGTTATTTCGAGGATTCCTAGTTCTTACGATAATTCAAATACTCTATTCATCACATTGGCGTCGCGATGAAGTCTGTGATGGAACGGTTGGACATACATTCAGATGTTATTGCTTTTGAGGATTACATGGAGAGGTTCAAAATCTGAACAATGACCAAGGAAGATGTTGTGGATGTTAACATTGGGGCTCGTTCTCTTACATTCACCGGAAAAGAAGCATACAGCTTATTAAAAACTCCAGCATTTCCAGAAAAGCTGATTTCACTCCCTGACGCAACTCTCAGGGAAATACTGCTAGATCATGTAAAGTTTACAAATTTAGAATGCGGTAGAGGATATAAATTTCATGTAATGATTCGTCAGGACATTAAAAATTCCAGTACATTACTATGTCATCCTAATCGAATGCGTAAATAAGGTTGTGCAGGTAATTCATTGCGAAGTTACGAAGTAGATCACGTAGATGAGCACAAGTTTGGTCAATGTTTGCCCTGCGGCACGTTTCACTCATTTAATTCATGCTTATCTCGTAATTCCAAATGCTTAACATGTGGAGAAATTAGACATATTCAGTCAGTTTGCAATACTATTTAAAGCAATTAGTTCCTTTGATAAATTTCGATAATGTAATGAGACGACTATTGTTCATTTCTCTGCAAGCAATGCTAAACTTTGTAATTTTGACCCTTTTAAGCTGGGTGCTTGCAATGATCACTTATCATTATCCATGACTTCGATAAACAATGTAGAGTCATATATCATTATTATTAATGGCTTTATTTCATATTATAATCTGGTACAATATAGAATTCTCAGTACGAGTCATTTCAACAAGTTTTTTTTACCAAAATAAAAACAAAAAAAACCCAAGAAAAACAAACAAAAAAGCAGAAAAGGAATGAAAAAGGTTTAAGAAAAACTGAGTTTATACATATTATCAAATTTGAAACATGCTTAAGAAGACAGGTTATTTACTAGGTCAACTCTAACAGCCTGTTCGTCACAAAGTAAATTTGCTAAGTAAGGTATTACAGAACTTTTATAGACTTGCTTGCGTGTATGGATTTTAATGTATTTACGTCTCATTCTACCAGAAGATATACAAGGAGAAATATAATAATAATAATAATAATATATTTCTGCATTAGCAGGTACACGCCATTTTTACAGGCATGATCTACAATTTACAACATATACCGGTTCACAGAATGCATCCCAAGCAAGCTTGGTAGTAATTATAATCTATAAAAGTTGATAGCAGTTCATTCGTTCAGATATAATGTGTTTTCATAAGAATAGTTTCCAAAGGGTCATAGCGTCCACGTTATATACCAGATCCAATCTCGA